TGGGTTTGATTGGGCTGCAGTCAGATGGATGGCTGGTAAAAATGGCTGTTGCTCCAGAGGAGCTGCACCATATCAGAAGAAGAAATCTTAATTTCCTCTTGAGATAAACCCTTCAATTGGCTGCTTGGGCTCTATAGCAATTGCCACAAGTATTTGTGAAGTAATTTGTGTATGTAGGTATCTCATGCACATCTAAGAATGGTAACCTTTGCACTCACATTTGTTTGTAGGAATTACTCAGAGATGACATAAGTGGATCTCTCCCCAGAAGGTTACTCACTTTTTAAAGCAAGCCTGCTTCAAAAGGACAGGTGTAGTTGCTGCAGATCTGTTTGTGCACAGCACTTTCAAATTGCACATAGCCATAGTTCTCCTCACAGTCAATTCCTGTACTGTTCCTTCACATGGAAATTTTAACTGAAAAAAAGAAATCTCAAATCCATTACAAAAATTATTTCAATGTTTATGTGACTAAAAAGGATTTCTATGCAGTGTTATGATAGAAGTGGTACCAAGTGTAGAAGTAGGCAGGGTAAGGTATGGTAAGGCAAAAAGCTATCAAGAAAAGAATGTATTGCAGTCTAAGTTAAGAACCTGAGGGGCTGCAGATTTTTACCAAGTTTTATTTCTGCGTCTTACTAGCAGAGAAACAAAACCTCATGGTCCTTTACTGTAACATGGAGTGACTCAAAACATGAAGTTGTCATATTCCTTACAAATATATTTCTCAACAAGTGTTGGGAAATAATAAATTTTGCACCAAAATAAAAATATTTTCTGGTAATGAGAGATTAGAATGCCATTTATATAATGCTAATATGTAGTGTCAACTTTGTATTTTTAAAGAAATTAAATTACAAATGATCAGCTTATTAAGTGTTCCTTTGGAACAATGTATCATTTTTTATACCCCTAAAAGTATTTTTTGATGTAGTTTATAATTAAACACTAAAAGCAAGGATTACCACTTAACATTTCATTTTTGTCAGGAAAGCATCTCCTGCAAATACTTACAAATTAGTCTCTTCTGCAGTCTTGACTGAAATGCATTATGCAGAAATCTGACAACTGCTCAGTACAATTTGCAAGCTGCAGAGAATTCAAAATAGTCTTTGATGTCTAGGCAGAAATTCACTGTACAGCAGGGACTTTAGGTCGGTTCTCTGCAACTTATCAGCCCGTGTTGTGTTTAATTAAGACATGGAAAGCATCTCAGGATTAGCCTTTGACAGCTCAGAGTTTTTGCTCCAGGTTAATAAGCCTGATTTTTTTTTTCCTCTCCCATTTTTCCCCTTCATAAAATTCCAACAGGCTGTAAAATCATCTACTACTTTTCTTGAAGGAACGTTCTTTTGGAGAGAAACATCAAACTGGTGAAGCACTGGTGACTTCTTCAGCTTCATGCATAGTAACTGGCCCATGCGAGCTGATGAGATTTTACTGCATAGAAGCATTTAATGTTGTGAAATTAATATCTCACAGCAGGTATAAAATAAATGTCCAGTATGAGAACTGAAGAAATTGTCCTCACAAGAAATCAATCAGTATGAATTGGAACATACACCAATGAAAGCTAAGTGAAAAACAAGGAGAACCTTAGCAAGAACAGCAGAAAATAACAAAAAAATTGAACTAGTAATGATGTTTGTTTGTTATTGTTATCAAATATTAATGATTTTCATGAAACCATGGAAAACTGGTAAATCAAATACTAATAAAGTAAAACTGTATTATAGTTTAAAAATTAGGACTGTTGTCTTAAAGAGACCAAAGGAGTGGAGAAAAGAGGGAGAAAGTTAAGTCCTCTGAACACAAAAAGTGGGTCAAGCCACTGAATTTTTCTGAGCAAGCACTTGATCAGTTCTTATACCTTCCCTCTCCTTTATTCTGCTTTTGTATACATACACTTTTAAAGTGCAACTTACCTTAAAAATAAAATGTCCATAAATTAAAAACTCCTAAGATAAAAACAGCTATATCCTTTCAGTAAGAAATGTTCATCAGAGCTTGGACAAATCATTATGCAGAGGATATTCTAGGAGAAAGCACTGAAGCAATCAAACTTAAACCAGCTGCAGAAATAAAAAAGAAAATTATAGCTTTGGCAAATGAATGCTAGCAATTATATTTCCATCACTTTGTATTATATTGTTTGTCTTCTTGGGATAAGATTGAACTTACTCAGTCTGAACCATTCTGATTGTTAGAACTTGGTCAAAGGGACTGTTCAGTAGAAGCCCTGAGGGAAAGTAAAGCATGTGTTCATGCTGTAATGGATCATATCTGAAAAGTGAAAGCTATGTTCTGAGCTGCTGGGGCTTCTTCTGCTCAATTTCTAAAGCCAGATTTTCCAGGGATTTTGGGGCTCAGCGCTGAGTTGCAGAGCTTCCTCACCTGGGGAAGTGAGGGCAGGTATAAAGGGGTTTATTTTTGTGCAGGAAATAAATGGAGCCCTGACACTATGTACAAACAAATAATTTTTCTTCAAAAATGAATGTTTGCATGCTTTCTTCAAATTTTTGATTGGGGAACAGCTAAAGAAATGCTGCGCATGTTAAAGTGGTCTGTGAGGGTGTAGTAAGTACAAGTATTACAATTTATTGCAACATGACTTAGGAAAATAATTAATATACCCATGTGATGTTTAGGGAAAATGGGACTATTTTGTGTATTTAAAAGTTTTGTTGAGATCACCAATCTACATTAAAGTTTATTTGTCTGATAAAGGTAGGGAAACACATCCACGGGCCACAGGCAAAAATGAGCCTGTGGAGATCTTTGACTGCCTAAATCATGCATGAAAAAGATAACCAAAACAGTAATTGCAGATTCAGCTCTGAGTAGAAGAAATAATTGCAGAAATTGATTTGGTTAAAAACCATCAACTACACTGAATCCTCCTGCCTGTTAAATTTAACAATAGAAAAAGGCTTTTAGAATTGGAAATATTTTTCTTTTATGCTTATTTTTAAACTGTCCAAACCTTTGGTATAGCTGAAACCAAAAATGCAGCATAATAGAGATTTAACAAAATAGGAAAGAATGACCTATAGTAATGTAATGCTTTCTGTCATCTTTTGTTCGAGTGTCCCATTTTGTCAAGTTTTCTAAGCAAAGCTCTTTAACTGTAACTTTCTTCTTAAACCAAGTTAGTCTTGATCTTGGATATATTTCAAAATAATTTAAATAAATCTCAACAAATGCTATTTTCTGAGTATTATAATTTTCATTAGTGCTTTAGAATTTCTGAGCATGTAAATTAATTTAGTTGTAGTCCTTATCAGTCTTTGAAGAGAATGTTAATTATATCTGGCAATAACTGTTTTGCAGAAAATTGGGAAATCAGCCTGGGTCTCTTGAACAGTTTATGATTCAATCCCACTTCATGAGTAAGCTTTGCCAACTGTTTTGTTTTTACAATGAAAGCTTTATATATGTGGGGGTGTGTGTACACATGCATACATATATTAAATATATATAAATATATGGAGTTCTTATAAGCATACTTACCCAAAAATATAAGTATTTACTGTATTTCTTTTCTGCTTGTTCTGAAAGCTTCACACCGTTGAATTAGATAAGCTTGAATAGAAACAGATTGGGACACAAGTAATTGAGGATATTCTTTTTGAATAGGCAAAGGAGCTTTATTAAGAAAAGGAGATAAAACTGTTGTGCCATGGCTTTCAAAAATGTTCTGTGCTTCTGCAAAACAATTATTGCCAGATATAATTGACATTCTCTTCAAAGAAAAAACACTTATCTGACTACTACAGGACAAGGCTGAGCGTGGTGATGACACAGAACTGTCGTGTTCTTACTGGAGCTCAGGTCAGGCTGGAGCTCCTTCTGCAGGGGCTTTTCTGCCCTGCTCTAAGCAAGTGCACATCTGATGGTGCTGCTGTGTTATATTCTGGAACAAATGAAATCTGCCAGCCATTATTCCAGTATCTACAAGTAATTGCTTCATACCTGGACAAATCTTTATGGGTTATAAAAAGTTACCAGTTTCTGAAAAGGAGTTCTGTAGTGCTGTGTCATACCTGGGTTTTTAATTGAGTATGCTTTCACAACATGGATAATTCAGAAGTGTGCATTATTGGATCAGAATCATAAGAATCAGCTTAATTCTGTCACTTTTATGTATACTAAGTTGAAAATAACTGAGGTCTAAAAGGATTATTGCCAGCCCAATGAACGTTTCAGAAAAAGACTCTGTATGTAGAAATACAAATACAAATATTTTCCCTGAATTTTTGCATGATTATTCTTAAACCAATTGTATGTTTGTGAGTGCTTTTTGACTTATATTTTGGGAGATAAATTACAGAGATAGATATACTGTGTGCTAATACTATCCTGTCAGAAATGCCCAAATGGAATTTCCAAAGATAGCCTGTAAAACTGCCCTATGGCCAGGAGCTCAAACACATTGCTTGCTATTCCTGGATAAATGGGGCGTAACCTCTTCCCTCCCTACTTTACTTTTCCTTTTGCAAAAAGGACCAGTATTAATAAAGACTTTAATAAGGTTTTTCTTCAAGTATGTTAGATTATGTAGTATCTCCCTTTCATAACATGTACACTGCTCTTGTTTCCAGTAACAAAGAAAAATGCAGTTTCATCTCATCTCTATGGCTACATGGCATTACGCAGTGTAACTTTTGAAAAATTGTAATTTAATTTTTTTCAAGGTAAATAAAGTCTTATCAGTCACAGGGAGAAGTAAAATACTTAAAATTATAATATAAGGCTACATGGCTCTTCATGTGTATGACATATAATATTTCATAAATGATTTAAGTAATTGGCAAATTGAAGGAGTGAAGCATTGCATAAAAGCTTTTCTGAAAGGGATTCCTTACACAGAACTTGCTGTATACATATCATCCCTGATAGCTGCAGTATAGAAGGGGTGATGTCTGAATGATCTCTCTCTTTCTCTGTATATATATATATATATATATATATATACACACAGACAGACAGAGATAATAGAAGGGACCTGTTGCCTGTGTCTTTTTCACTTTCCCAGTGAAGTATTTTTCACTTTTTTCTCTTTCCTTAAAAAAAAAGAGTTACTGTGTTTTCTTTTCTCATGCTAAAGAAATCAACAATGTAGAACACTTGAGACCTTTCTGAATGATGTTTCTATACCTGTGAAGTTTGAATAAGCCAAATAACACCATCATGGGATTAAACGAAATTTTAAGGCCATTTGGGAGATTATAAAATGCTTGCACATTTAACTCTTGGTTTGGTGAATAAAAAGAAGATGATGTCTGCGACAATTAGAACTTTATGTCATGCAAAATTTTAAAAAAGGGAGAAAAGTAGGGGCAGTGGGACTGTTGAGTGCCTAAAGGGCCGAAGCTGCTAAGCAATTTATGAGGAACTGATTTATGAGAGTTCCAAGCTCTAAATGCATTCTACAGGTACTTCAGAAACAGCTACTTCTGTCTTCCTAATAAGAATGATATGACAATGAAGACTTTCTATTCCCTCCTTCCATCTGTGTTCTACAGTCATCTGTCATCCTTTATCCCTGTTTAGATTGAAAATGTTCCTGATTTATGCAGTGTTTGTATTTACAAACTGAACAACCAGTAGGCTGCATGTGACAGAAGCTGTGGGACCCATGGATTTCAGCCCTTGGCAGGAGGGCCCCTGTTACAAGAGGCCATTTTTGTCCTTGGAGTTGTTAAATTCTGGCCACTAATACTTATCACAAAATAACTAAGAAAAAGCACAGTTGGACTCTGCCATCCTTAGGACACACCACCTCTGAATAATAACAGATCATCCAAAGGATGTCTGAAAACTACTGAGCCACCAGAATGGTAATACTTCCTAAAATATAACTCAGGCTTATCAATAAATAGATATATTTTTCCTTTGATGACAAAGCCAAATATCTGTTATTATATAGAACATATAGATGCTCTGTAGCCTTTGATGAGTCTTTGACACAAATTGAATTTTTAACTAAAATTACACAAGCATTTATTTTAGATTTTAAAATGCTATTTGATATACTATAAATTTATGCAGTCAATTGTATGTCAGCACTTCAAAGATAATAGTTGTTCCTTTTTCCTAGAGAGATATGAATTTAATATAAACAGTAATTTAGATATATGCTTACTCAAATTATGACTAACAAACAAGATGAAGCTGCAAATAAATAACTTGGGAAAGATAAAAATGGCTCAGAAGTATGCTTACTGTGTTCCTATAAAATATGATTGCATCAGGAGAGCAGCAGAGGGAACAACATATAAAAATGAAAATAATGTTTTTGACTATGGTTTTTTTTGATAGCTTCCCTTCAAAATCAGACCATGAAAGGACCATGTCTTATGCAAAGGGGGGATAAAATGTTCTTTTGTGTTTATGTTTCTGCAATAAAAAAATAGCACTGATAGTGCTAGAATAGTGCTAGGAAACAGTTAATCTAGTTTTTGAGTACAAGAACTGTGCAACCTTAGGGATACTGGTTGAACCTTGAGATCTACTGTAAGAAGAAAATTGCAGTTTCAGGGATAATACTATATCCTAAATTCCATTGAAACCTCACTACCAGAGGTGATTGTTGTAAGCATCATCATGCCTGTACTTGAGGTGCTGACCATTGCTGGACCTGGGCTTATAAAAAGTACTTCATCAGTAACTCGGTAGCTTTGATTTACTCTTCTGGTATCTAGTCCTTAACCACAGCCATAATTCCATTGCAACATGGAGTTTTTTTCTTCTACAAATAAAAATTCTAATGATTGCAGTACTTTATTCTGATCTTTCCCCCACTTCTCTTATTCATATCTTCCTTAGGTTTTATTCCCTCTACTTGTATGTGCCTTAGTCATTTCTGCACCTCTGAAAGCGTTCTACACTCCCAACTCATCTGCCAAAAGCATCTCTAAGATCCACGCTAATTACATGGGTGGGTTTGGTGACCACAGCTTAAATTTCAAATGGCAACATGCAGATCTTGAATATTTTCTGTTCTACATCAGAACTGCATGATTTTGGAACACCTCAGTTTGAGCTTCAGTAGCGTACAGCGTCTTTTAATAACTTAGTGTAGGAGAACTGCAGTACCCCAACCGTCTGCTTTTTGCTGAACTCTCTGAAGCAGCCAATTTTGTCTTGCAGAACGTGGCTGCTGCACATGCTGAGTGCTGATTGCAAGTATTATCTTAAGAGAATCACATCTCAATATTTAGGAACATGATTCTTCTTTCAAAGGCATGCTTTGGGGCTTTTATACCCCTGCTGGCTTCATCTCACCAGGAGCTACCTGTCAAACACCATCTTTCAGTTCTACAGCTGCCTTTGCTGCTGTGTTGTGTTTATCAAAAAAATTGGGAGGAAAAAGAGGACTGTAAAAAAACCAACATCCTGCAGCTTCTTAAGAAGCAAAGAAAGTAGCCTGGCAAGAAAAGGAAAACCTGGGCTATAGTGCAACCAGGGCTGAGAAGGGCCTGAAACCAAGACTCAGAGCCTTTGGGCAGCCTAATCTGCTTTACAGAGAGATCAGGAAAATTGAATGCAGGTAGGAGCCCTGCAAGAAAAAGTATAACCAGAATATTTATGCCAGGCATTTTTCCTTGCCTACCAACCTTTTGTGTTAGCAGGTATGACAGGAAAGTTCAGTAATGGGTGTGCTGGGCAGGCACTATACGAGGTCTTGGAGATCTTGGGGGTTTATGTGCTCACAACCTGAACTCACCTTACACTCCTGAGTACCTGCTGCTGTACCAAACTAAATCCTTCATAAGCCTGATCTTCTTTCTTCACTTGTGTTCCTTATAATACATTGTGAATCACCATAATCTCTGTTCTGTAACAATACCACGGAAGTGCTATTTCACTCAATTAATACAATTATAAATTATTATAAATTAAATAACTATCAGCTTCTAAAATACTTTGTTTGCTCTAGTTATGCTCCCATGTTCACATCTTTTCTTCTCATCAAAAACCACAAAGTAGTTTAGATTACCTCTTATTTATAAATTAACCCTGGTTTGTGTGTCAATCACAGGCCATGGAAATGTTTAGTATCCTAAAGTTGCAACTGAACCTTAACACCAAAACCATGAATCCAATTAGCTGCATGAAAGAAGCATACAAAATATTTCCAGTGAGATAAGGTTTGTGCAGAGAGGTAGTATGTTTTCTTAGACCAATTGCTGTAGCTGCAAAATATTTCTATTAATTTTCAAAAGCATTCCTCTTCATGGCTGCGTGGTCAAGGTATTAAAAAGGATTTAAGGCAGGAAATAAAAAATATATTTGAAATTGAAAATACATTTAAATAAGGAGAAGAGAAATTTAAGTCAGTGTAAATAAGATGCAGAGAAATGTTATTTAAAATACTGCTGCCGTTATTTCTGCCTCCTGTTTTATCCCAGGGTCTCTCTGGTTCTTAATTCATGTTAAAGACAGTCATATACAACTCTCACACAGCAACAGCAGCAGCACAGTCTGCTCAGGGATCAAGAAATCATGCTCTGTGTTGTAGTCTTATCTTTCATGGTTTATAAAAATCTTTTTAACTGAGCTATACTCAAGTGATTAATGCATTTATCCTTCCCTTCACAGTGACTGCTGCTGTAAAATATGGTTTACCTCTCTTGTGCTATACATATTTGCTTTCTGATTGCCCTGAAGATTTCAGAATAAATTCAGTACTGCATGGCAAAATACTGCTTTACCCAACATGAAAAATCTTTTTGTTTAGAGTCAATAGTTCACTTGCATCTAGGTGTCTGACATCCTGAAGGAGCAAAAATGGAAATAAGCTATATTTGTGAGGTTTTCCATTGCCTTTCTCTTACCTTCTCTGTGGCTGATAAATGTAGTGAAATTTTGCATTGCATTGCTTCCTCTAGCTTGTAATTTAACAAAAGAGTTTACCAATACTTCTATTTGCCTGGCTTTTTCTGGGAGTTCTAAATCTGCTTCTCATCATTTCTGTATTGCTTCAGCATAGATTATGCTTTTCTTCTGTTTTTTTGTTTCACATCTGCCAAAAGAATCCTCAAAACCAATGCATTGACAGGAGCATCCATATTTCTTCACCCTTAAAGGTGAGTGAAAGATAGAGTAACAATTGTTTATAGGCTTAATTTTTCTTCCTGTGTTTCAAGGTGTATAATTTTTCAGCTAATTCAAGTAAGTTTTCTTCCCAAGATTATGTCTAAATGGACAGAAAAATTATGGGGAAATGGAAGTTAAATTTAATCCATAAGCAGAACTGAGTGGTAACAAAAAAAAAAAAAAAAAAAAAAAATCCTTGAATTTGCAAGAATTTATTATGAGAGCCACCTTCTCCCTGATGGCACAGTTACACCTCAGGCACATCATGCTCACGATCTGCACACACTGAGTCTTGCAGCCCACAAGAAATAGAAGTGTCAGACTGGCAGGGAGGAATTCCTGTACTTTAGCAGCCATTTCATACCCAGTTGCAGGGAAATGTTATATAATATCAAGCTGACAATTTAAAATATTTCTCCCTTTCTATTTTAACTTGCGAGGCTTCTCTTTTTTTTTCTATATAGCTTGATAAAGAAAAGTCATCAGTTGAATTTAATGTTGGCCTCCATTATTGTTTATACATAAGTTCTTCTGTTACAATGTGTGATTGCGTTTCTATCACTGAAGTCACAGATCGCTCTTAGTTAGAAGGATAATCAGCAAACTTTATGAGTGGAATAGGATGTAAAAGTGGGATTGGAGAAATTAAGAAAGCAGAAACTCCCAGGGGAGGAATGCAAAAAAGGCACTGCTGAGTTGGATCCTGATCTAAAGCCTCCCCTAAGGAAAGTGCTTCACCTGCAATCATCAGCACTGAACAGGCTTTCTTTAAAGGCACATTTCAGGTTCTGAGGGGAATTTATTCATTAGATGCTTTTGTAGTCAGACAATCAACCAGAGAGAAGGTGCTTCACCTGCAGTTACATATCTGCTAGTAAATTAAACAGGTTCAGGAAACACTTTTTGGCACAGAAACTGAACTGTTGAATTGTTAGAAAAACCGTGTTTTGGACTGGACAAACTCCCCCTATCCCAGTTCTCAAGCATGTTTTGGAAACTGGCATAAGTTTGTGCATATTCTCAACTGGAATTCTTTATGGGAATTTGCTATTTTGGGAGTTGAGAGAATCCAGAGGCACAAATCAAGATAATGCTGAGCCATTTCTTCTTTATTCCAGAGAGTTGCTCTACAAAAATTTAATTACATGTGCTTGCTTTCACATGGTTTACAGGGCTGGTTCTAAGTGATAAAAATAAATGAGAAAAAGACCATCATCTCTTTTTAGTTCTAGAGCTGGTACAATAAGGAGACATAACCTCTTGAAGTCAGATCCTCAAGCAATGGCCAAGTTTTGCTCAAATGTGGAAGTCCTGGTATTTCACAAAATCAGGCTAGTAGATGATTGACAGAGAAATACTGATAAAAGGATGTTTTAAAGCCTATATTTAATCTTTCTTTAATTTTAAAGCCTATATTCATCTTTTTTTAATTTTAAAGACCACAACTTAAATGAACTAGTCAGAATTGTTTGTGCTATTTCTTATTCCGTGTCACTGCACTGACAATCTTAATGACAAAATGGACATCCAATGGTTATGAGATCCTGTTGTGATTAAAATGGGACAACAAAGTTAAGATTACTTCAGTGAAAATTATGGAGTATGTGACAACTATCTGGTAACTGAAATGTAGGATTCTTTGTCTAGGCTTAGGTTGTACATGAAGCAAAAACTACATCAGTAAAGATAAAAATCTAATGTTCTTGTGTTCTCTAGATTGTTGTTTTTTGCTTAGTACCACAAAAGTTTTGGATGAACTGCAGAAGAAGGAAAAGTGTTTTCTTCTTAAGGCTCTGGGACTTCATAATGAAGAAGATTTCAAGATTGTGAAAACCTGAACCTTTGTATCATAGATTTTTTTTACTGTGGATTTTGTGGAGGTTTTTTCATGTTTGCATGCAGAGGAGTATTACTATATATAAAAGCACATATAAAACCATGTTTTAAATTGTTTAATTAATATATAAAATAAATCTAACAGAATTCCCCATAAATGTACTTTGTGTAATCCTGTGAAGTATTATTAAGTGGATATAATGTGTTATCCTCTCAAAACAGTCTGGAAATTGTCTCAGTGTGTCTATATAGAGTAAGAGATGGAATACTATCACCTTATTATAAATATAACAGTAGTGTGAAGCTCACACCGGCTATGTAATGTCAGCTATTAGCTAATAATTAACCTTTGTGGGAGCTGGAGTTGCCATCCACGGTCAGGTGTTTTGTATTTCTTGTTATTCAGTTGGACACACAGCTCCTCAACAGAATCCACAAGGAGCACAAAAGAGGGATGCAGCTGTAGGTTCAGTGTCCGTTTCAAAGCAGCCATACAGGGCTACTAGTTCTAATTATTTTCACTTTATTCCTGAATTTGGTTGATCTGATAGGGCCATACTCACTGCAGAAATTTGCTTCCATTGGGAACTGCTGTGGTGGATAGAGTTAACTCCCCCAGCTCAGGTAGGTTTGTTCCTGCCCCGGTCCTCACACCCTGTCAGTGTGATTAGAGCAGTGCCTCAGGCTTCAGTCCTCAGCTGTTTATAAAACTGGAGGAGATTGTGCTGCCAATAAAAGGTTCCCTCACTGAATAACTGCCCTGTTGTCTTGGTTTGAAAAAACAGGAGTCTGTGAAAGAAGGCAAGAGCCTCCTGTGAAATGGAAAAGGTAGACCCCCTCCCTCTGAATTACCACAATTTCAAAATTAAAAGGCTCTCAGGCAAAGATATGGGAATGGGAATAACAGTTCTTTACTAGGAGAGAAACTCAATACAAATAATAAATTTTAAAAAATGTAATTAGTACAAACAAAACTAGTGATAGAGTCAGAAACCTGACACCCTGAGGAGTCAGGGTGTTGGTAGTAGTCCAGTTAAATGGTGGCTGCTCCTCCTGGAGTGGCAGATGAAATGCTGCTGAAGCAGTGATCTGGAGAAGGGTGGAGTTTTCTCCCAAGGTCTGGTCTTCTTCTGGGGATCCAGCACAGAAGAGAGCTGCTCCTCTGGGAATCCAACAAAGGGCTGCCCTGGTGTCCCAAAAAGTGCTGATTTTATGCAGATAGGGATGCTTGGCTCCTCCCTCTGGGTGGAGCATCTCACAATGGGATGATGTGACTTTACCAGTCATGCAGTGAGTCGTTCAATGGCCCATTAACAGAAGATATCTCCCCGGAGGGAGGCATTGTTCTTGGAAGAGATAAGAAAACTGCCCAACCTCCAACAGGTAGCAAATACAATACATGCTTATTTTACAAGCCGGGACCCCTGTAGTTCTGCTGGGGAAAGGTGATGGGTAGGGGTGAATAATCCTATAATCCCGGCGTTTGTACATGCCAGGTTTGCTGTAGATTTTGAGATTATAAATCGGGAAGAAGATGTGTTTTCTGCAGCTTGAGAATTGAGAGGAGAACCTCAGCTGCCTTCAGATTAAGTGCCTCATGTTGACAATTTTAAGTAAAATTTTAGTATCTGGATTTACTTTTCAGGAGTGAGGTTGGCATTTGGAAGTTTAATTCTTACTGAAAAGTCAGTTGGACATTAGCTATGAAGTGATTTAAAAAACCCCAAACCAGCATCTAAGAGTTTGCTAGTCAGTGCCCATTTAGCAGCACTTCTCTAGAACAGTCACTGCATATTCAATACAATACACAATGTATTGATGTACAATAGTGGTAGCAGTAATACTGTGTTTCCAACCAGGAAAATAAAGGGCCATTGATAAAATTTAAAATGTTAAACCTAATTAAAGATGTTTAAGCTGTATTTGCTACATACTGTTAGAAATTCATGGAGTTTGAGTTTTCCTAAGAAATATGTTTAACTCTCTGAAATATGTTGTAGAGCTGCTGCAAAAGCCTATTAATAGCCCTATTTTGAGATGTGGAAGCTGGAGATCTTCTGTGGGATGGATATTTTTACTATTAAATTATTTTAGTATTTTTGCTCTATTTCTAACTGTGATATTAAGAGCATCTGCCAGAGTAGTTTTATTTCTATCCTGAATAGATATAGGCTGTGCAGTACTCAATAAATTACTATATTATGTAGTTACAAAATAGTATATTTTCCTTGTTTGTTTTTTTGCATTATAATACATTATAATGAATTCCTCAATGGTCTCTTGTATATTCAAGTAACACTTTTCCTTCCTTTGGAAAGCATGTGGTCATATAAATTGAAAAAAAATAAATTATCCTCATAGTTTTTAAAACCACAATAGCAGTCTTGGGTGATATGTCATGAGGAAAGAAAAACAGAAGCTTAACATATAGTGAAAATTATTTTGTAATTCAGCTTGACAGGTGTTTGTAGATATATAAACTGATTTTGTCAGTATATAAACTGATAAAGAGGAAAGAACAGTCCATAGTTAATGACTGATGAATGTACCATCTCTGTGGACTTGACTGATAGGGCCTCATTCTGAAATCAACAGAAAACTGAATTATATTTCAATTACTTTGTTTGTATGGAGGTTTTTGTTTCTTTTGGGTCAAGTATTTACTCGAAATCTGATCACCATGTCATGGTAAAGGCAATATTTTTTGATTTTTTTTGATTTTTTTTTTTTTTTAGTCCTGTAAATCAAGTTAGGGAAGCACAGAGGAATAGGGTGGGGCCAGGTTCAATGACTAAAGCTGAAATACATTTTCCTGGGTTTTTAAAGCACACACTTGCACTTGCTTGCTAGGAATTATACAGCAGGGACCAAGCTTCTATTTGTGTTTCTGTTTTTAAAGGAATTAAGCACTAAATAGCATCCATCTTCATCAAAACATGAAAGGGAGCAAGCTGCTGCTAAAGTCTTAGTACCACAGGTGAGAAGAAAAGAAAGATGAAGGGATGCACAGGAATTGAAGACAGTAACATTATGTGCTATTTTGAATTATTTATACTTAGAATAAGTAAACAGAATAGTTGTAATAAGTATGTTTTACATGCTTCTGCTTCCAAAATCAGTATAGCATTGATGGAGGAAAATAAAAGACTTGTAAGTCTGTATTTCATATTTACTTTACTTGGTTAGGGCCATAATGTGGGCTAATGGAAATTAAAAAAAAAAAAAAATTGCCATTAATTTCAATGGGGTTTCCATGGCTCCTGATGTGAAAGCAGAAAGAACTGTGAATGTACTGCATTTTTAAGGTAGAAAACAAATAAACTGAAGTCTGCTAGCCAAAAATCTATTTGAAGATAGAAACTGTTGACAAGTACAAACATTAGGCATAGTGTCACATGGCACCTTATAACATAAATAGTGGTTTAAATTTTACAACAGACTGCTTTCCTCTAACAGTTGGCTGAAAGATATGTCTAGTAGTTAATGGGAACCTCTTACAATAAACAAAATTTTAAAATGTGGTAGTTTACTTATATGATCTGGCTTTTTTTGTGCTTAATGGCACCCACCTGCACCATGGCACCAAGGGACAACACAGATGGTCCTGTGATTAGACTGAAATGAGAACGTCCATCAGCTGCAGAGAAGTCAGCCTTAAGGACACAATTGTTATTATCCTACCCTTTGGATTTGTTTTCCAGCATGGTCTTGAATGTAAGGCATGAATATTATTGGAGGGTTTGGATTATGTGACCCTGAGGTTCTTTGCATGGATGTTGTTTCTACTAATACAATAAGTAGATTAACTGTAAAATTCTGATTACTTTCCCCCCCTTCTCTTGAACTGCACATTTTTCTAACAAGTTCTGTTGAGTACAGTTTGGCAAAATATTTATTTTTTCCCACAAAGCTCTCCAATGGTCTTATCCGTGGTGGGTATATTCTGTTCTTTGGCACTGGCAGTGCTGCACTCCCCTGCAGAGGGTCTGCTGCTCTGAGATGGGCTGTGATGAACTCTGCTATAAAGTTTACTGAATGACAGCAAGCTTAATTCATTGCAGTACTGTTGCAGCCTTATGGCAGCTCTGTCTTGCCACAGTGGTTATTCCTTGGAAAGAAGATTCTTAGGCTCTGGTCCTCTGTCAGGACGCTTCTGGCTTTTGATGGCTATCACAAGGCCCTTGGTCTTTGCCAATGAGTCACAAAAAGATAAGGCAGAACCTGATGTTCCTTGTCTTTTCATGTAGACAGGAATGGTGTGACATGTTTAAAAAACTGTCAGCAGCTGACACCACTTAGAACAAAAGTCCTGTCATCATTAACAGTACTGAGACAGAATTGGATTTAACAATATTGAGACAGGTCTGTAAGAGATTCTTATTTCACACTGAATCCAAATTAAGGGCTAAGCTGAAAATGGGCACTTCTTGTGCTCTGAAGCATTCAGGGTAGTGACCCACATTTTGTAGTGCTTATCCATTTTCTTACAGATGCAAATTTGCTAACTCTTGAGGAATACTTTGTTTGCTTTTCAGATCAAGTGAAATTATTTGTATACAAAACCATGTCCCTTCTTGTCAATTTCTCCAGGAACAGATTTTCTCTGTCCATATTTTTTGTAGTTTTGAAACTATTTGAGCAGAAATGTCTTCAAATAAATATGCAGATTTAAAAGCAATTGAATGAAGTCTGCATTTTAATCGTGGTTATTCCATAACTTTGAACTCAGAAAAAGTATTTGCCCTTATTGCAATTATAGCTGAGGTAGGTGGGTACTGTAAGAGTGTGTCCCTTTCTTGGGGAAATACAAACCTGCTATGCTCCTGCTGGGGATGACATTCTAGCATCTCCAAATAAATATCTGTGACAGCCAATTACTTTAACTGGTTTTGGATAATTCAGATACAGCAATAAAGGGATTATGCTAATTTTAAACATGATTGGTTGAAATCAATTTGATTTTACATAGTTTTAATAGTAATTCCATAAAAGTTGCTCTTCTCAGTGATGTTTAATAGTGGCATTTATAGATGCATATGTGGGCAAGAGAGAAATAAAATAGAGACTATATTAAAGCAACTACAGATCTGAAATAGTTCTTAAAATCATTGTTATGGCAATGACATCAAGAGGAGACAGTCTACACAAAATTTCACAA